GGGTTCAGAGAGGACTTTATGGTTTTGAGTCAAAGGGCAAAGGATGTAAAAGCAAAAATAAATGAATGGGACTATATCAAACTAAAAAGCTTCTGCACAGCAAAAAAAATAAAACCATCAACAAGACAAAAAGGCAATAACCTAATGGGAGAAGTTACTTGCAAACAACGCCTCTGATAAGGGGCTAATATCCAAATATATAAAGAACTCGTACAACTTCACAACAAAGAAAACAAACAATCCAATTTTAAAAATTGCTAGAGGACCTGAACACACACTTCTGTTTCAGAAGACATACAAACAGCCAAGATATATGAAAAAATGCTCAACTTCACTAGCTACTAGGGAAATGCAAATCAAAACCACAATGAGAAATTTTGTCTTGTTTTGTGATTGATGTCATGGTTAGAAAAACTTTCTCTATCACTAGATTTTTTTTTCTTTAAAGATTTTATTGGGGAATTGGGGGAGGGGAACAGCACTGGGGAATCGGGGGAAGGGGAACAGACAAGTTGCTGTTGTGTTGTTCTTCCATCTAGTTGTGGAGGATGTTGCTTCACTGGCCCAAGCTGGCACCATCATTGCGCTCTTCCCGGGCGAGGCAGATCAGTCGCTGGCCTCTGGACAGCTGCTCACCGAGGCTGCTGGCCGGTCACGCTGGCTGCTGGCTACACACGGTAGCTTATGGCAGCTCACTGCAGCAGGGGACTGCAGCCTACGCTGTCGCCGGCGACCCACGGCAGCCCAGACCCAGGTGGAGCTGTTGTTCAGCATCTTAGCTGTAGAGGGCAGTGTCACTGGCCCTCATATGTGGGCAGCCCAGACCCAGGTGGAGCTGTTGTTCAGCATCTTAGCTGTAGAGGGCAGTGTCACTGGCCCTCATATGTGGGATCCGAACCGGGGCCCTCTGGCATCCCAATCCAGTTCTTAACTATCGCGCCACTCGGCCGGCCCTAGATTTTTTTTTTTTATTTGGGGTCTCAGGTGGGGGAGATTTGGGGTCCCTCAGGCTGATGGTATTTGCGGCCTCCCAGGACAAGAGTGGGGGTCTTTCTGGCTGAAGAGATTTAGAATGCTCCGGCTCAGAGAATTGGGGATCTTTGAGGCTGAGGAAATTTGAGGTCTCTCATTAAGGGGCTCTAGGTTCCCTGACATTGAGGTAAGTTGGGGTGTTTGAAGAGATGACAAGTTCCCAGGATGAGGGCATTTAGGATCTGAGGTTGGGGAATTTGGTCTTCATGTGGGTGCTTGCAGTATTTAGGGTTTCTCAGGCTGAGGGGTTTGGGGGTTTGTCAGGCTGAGGGGAATTGGGGTTTTCAGGGTGTTTGGGGGGGTCTAAGAATTAGGGGATTTAGTGTCTATCTGGGCAAGGAGGTTTGGGGTCCCTCAGGTGACGGGATTTGGTGTCCCTCGAGGCTGACGGGATTTGGAGCCTCTCAGGGTGAGGGGATCGAGGGTCTCTCAGGTGGGAATTTGAAGGTCTCGAGCTCAGGGTTTATAAGGGTTTCGCATGGCAAAGGCCCCTGGTTTCCTGTCAGTCTCCAGGCTCTTCAGCAGCACTGCCCACCCTGGCCGAGCGCCGCCTCCCAGCCTGTGCGCGTTTCCCGCCCTCGGGAGGTGAGATTCTCTATCACTAGATTAGATAAATATTTATTAATATCTTTAATGTAATAGTAAGCTTAAAATAAAACAGAGTTTGGGGATTATATAGATATGAGATCCAATTCCAGCTCTGCCATTAACTCGTTTAATAGTATTTTCCAAAAATGGCTGCAAAATCTCCCATATCACAAGCTCTTCTACAACTTTGTTGATCTCTAAACAAAAAGTGGAAGCTGGTCAGGTTTGTGACTCATTTGTAACCGATATTATGTAGCAGAACTGATGATGCATGACTTCCAAGGCTAGGTCATAAAATGTGATGCCACGTCCGCATTGTTAGAATATACTCTTCACAGCCTTAAACATGTATATAAGATGTCTAGTGCCTCCATACTGTGAAAGGGACAAAGTCACATGGACAGTCCATATGGAGGTGTTCTAACAGCTCCAGGTGCCATGACAACTTATACCAGCATCAACTGCAGAGACATGTGGGTGAAGACACCTCCAAAGGATTCCAGTCTCCAGCTCTTGAATCACCTTAAGCCTTTGAGACTTTCCAGTTGAGGTTCCAGACTTCATGAAACAGAGACAAGCCATCCACACTATCTACTTTCTGAACTGACCCACAGTACTAGTGAACACAATAATTTCCTGACGTAGCAGTAGTAACTGGAAAACTGTATGATTCTTGTTAAGTTACCCAACTAGCATCTGTGCAGTCAATTTGTCCTTCAAGGTTCTCATCTATTAAATTGTCTTATAATAGCAGCTTCATAGGCACTTGTGAAGATTAAATGAAATCATGCATGAAAAGTATTTAAAAAGTGCCTCTCACAAACTAAGAGGTCACACAATAATAGTCACAATATTAAAAAATAAGGGTTTTTTGTTTGTTTGTTATATTTAAACCTTTAATACATGTGAAACTTATTTTGGTTTAATGTGTGGTTGTATCAATTATGTGCCTTGTGTTCAGAGAGGATTTTATGATTTTGAGTACAAGGGCAAGGGAAGTAAAAGCAAAGATAAACGAATGAAATTAACACTTAGATTGGTAGCCAAATTACTGTCTTTAAATAGCTATGTGAAGAAAATCAATTCCTATATAACTATGTGAGTATATGAAAGAAGAGCATATGCATATTGGAGGATTGCTAGTTGGTGTGTTATCATGTGGGTGAAGAAATTCTCACCTGGGTCTCATTCTGTTCATTTGTTCAAGTTGGAAAATGAAACTGAGAAGAATATGCTAAGATAGGGTAAACCAATGAAAAGACTCCCCAACATTAGACTGTAAGGGAGCATGGTAAGGAAGATTCTCTTCCTCCACAAGGAGTTTGTGTACACGTTAACCACGGTATCACTCAGAGGTGCCAAAATGTGACTTCACTTTCTAATCTAAGCTCATCTTGCTTTAGAGCTCCATGCCCAATGGTAGTAGAAAGCACTTGATCTTCTCAGCTTAAAATTTAGAGGAGGAATAATGGAAGCAAAGCAGGTGAGGAGGGAAATGTTCACAAGAACATGGGCTCAGCTGGAGGCTGGCATTAGTCGGGTCCCATGGAAAAGTTCTGCAGCACAAATGCGCCACAGACTTAGTCCCACCTCGATGCAAAACGTCAGTCATTTGTTGGCTGAGGTATATGCTCAGATGGGGAGCTTAGCACCTGGGCAAGGAAGCTCCCTTTTGGCGGAGGAGAATTCTCCGGAGAAGGGATTAATAGCTCTGAGTTGTCATCAGCCAACACTCAGTGCAGCTGAGTGGCACATGCACTGATCAGCAAAGAGGACTTGGGCAGGGTACCAAGATCCAATGAAAGTCATCTATCACATAAGGTAAAATTCCATACTCTGATGCTGAGAATGCCAACGTTTGCTCTTGAAACATCAAGGCAATATTTTATAACTTGAAACCTCTTCTTGTTCAACAAAGCCAAGCTTTGTCTTAACATTGATTCACAGATATTTTTAAAGTCTATTTTGAAGCCCAAGGCAGATCAATCACCTCTTTTTTTTTTAATAGACTGACATGTCCCATCCCCATGATTCAATGGGTAAGAGGGCCCACAGACAACTAGGAATAAAAATATGTTGTTTCCCTAATTTAAAATATCCACGTTGCATTGGCTTTTCCAGTCTGCTTGTCTGTTTTGAAAAAGTTGTCTTCATGTCTTTCTTCACTCTGGCTCTTTAAAATTCCACTGAGAATTCCTTAGGATTATATTCTCAGATATAGACAAAGAGTACACCAAATTACTCAAGTAGAGGGGTGATTAGTTTATTGTAAGCATTTCGTGTGGCATAATAAGGAGGAAAAAAAAAACACTAAACTCGTGGAAATCCAGGACCAGGAACTGCAGTCGGCCTCACAAGCAGCAAAATGCCAGGGTTATTCGGTATCCAGGAAGCGTCACCTCCAGGTCACAGGTGTGCTGCTCCTTCACCAATGCTGCTCAGCTTCTCTCTGCCTATTTAACTCAGAGTCTGCCTGTTTCTCTTCCCACCGCTATTATCGTAGCTTCTGCTATTGCACGCCTTCTCTTTACTCATAACTTCATCTTATGTAGGACACTGTAGCTTGAACCCTATCTCATGGCATCTCTATACATTCGATCATCTTCACCTACCATGCTACCTGCTTTATAATTAACATTTCCCCCCCTTCATTCTTATGAGAAGAAACTGACTGGCAATCAAGTGCTACAAGGCTACCTGGCTAGCCAGGGTCATCACAACTCCCCTTGCACCATATTGTTGCTCAAATCTTAGATTCCATAAACTGAAATGCCCTTAAAATTTTCCCTAATACTTTATCCCTATCCCTTCCCAGGTTTTCTAGCCTGATTACCACCTCACCCCCTGCCCCAAAGAGCTCTACCAGAGAAAGATGGGGCTCGTGTTGCCTGCAGATTGGGAAGCTGAATTTACTTATCTTCTAGCTCCATACACCGTGGGCAAAAAAAGAGTGCCAGGAGGTGTCAGGGTTAATCCAAAAAATCCCAACTCAGAAGACTGGGAATAGACGAGGATAAAGGATGGTCACAGAATTCTCAGTACTAGCCTGGGATTATTTTGACCAAGTCTGCATCTCCATATAGGAGATAATAACCATTTCTAAACCCAACCCTATTCATGGCATCACCATCATAAGGAAACCACAACCTTCTGCCAGACTCGAGCAATAGATTTGCAAAAATTCAGTCTAGTGGGCCATCATTAATGAGACTTGGCTACCTTCCATTGTTTCTTTTTATGACTGCTACTCTTTTCACTACCAGCTGGCTTTCTCACTCTCTACCATTGGTTAGAAGAGGCAAGCAAAACAAAGATTTGGGGTAAGAAGTAAAGGGGATAGTAAGTTGAAGAATGACTCCAAATCCAGGAGTGTTGCAGAACTAGACTCCCTCAGGGAGGTTGCAATAATTACTTTGCTTGCAGCAGATTAGTTCTGTCCTCTTTTCAGAACCCAAGATGTTGAAGTCCTCACAGTGGGTCATACATGACAATTTTGAATAAAAGTACATACTTCGCCCTGAGGAGGTGAAATAGAGGAAATAAAACTGTAGCAACTAAGTTTCCTCCTACCATATTCCTAGGAACAACCTCTCTTCAGAACCTCATTAGCCTTTCTCTAGGCCCAAATAAGCTAAAAGGCTGAGTCTACTAATTACTAACCTAGAGAATGGACTTCATTCCCTAACCAATAAGAGACATCAGCCTCTTCTTCACTCAATATTGTCTTAAGGAAAAGTCCATGTTTGCCATGCCCTCTACAAGACCACCCCATTCTTACTTATCCCACTCACCCACACACTCTAAGGGCAAAGAACAGCCCTGTCTCTAAGGGACAGAGGTGGTTATTTCTCAGCCAGTCTGTACCCCACACTACCTGTTTTTGTAAGGATGTAAATGTTCTCAGTAGCACAGGACTGTTCGGACTCCACATTGCAGGAACTCATGACGTCAGTGCATGACCCAAGATAATATTTGTTACATTTATAACATGTTGTAGGCCCTGCCAGACACAGAAAGAGGTGCTTAGAGAATGTACTCTGGAGAAGGTTCTCCAGGCCTAGGGGGGTTCTCTATAGGAATTTACTATTGCTTCATAGCTCCTCACCTTCCTCAGGCCATTGATTCTGTTGATAATCTTGTGAAAGACAACTTGTAAAAACATAGTCAAATGTTGTATATGATTTTTCAAAGGTCAGAGTTCCTGTAAAGTTCGTCTAGGGCCCCAAGTAATGAACCTCTCGTCTAGCCAAAATCTAGATGATTTTGCCCAGCAAGGAGGAAAAGGGAGCAACAAAGGAGGTTTTAGCCTTCTTACTCCAAGAAATGGACTAAATTGTTTAGGAGAGGAGGAAACTCCCAGAATTTTACAGTAAGAGTGGATTACTGCTCTCTCTGCAGATGGAGGGGAGGTTTACTTCTAAACGTGTCACAAATAACCTGTTTACCAAGGACTTTAGGCTAGCTGTGGTCATACCTTTCAGAAAGCTGTGAAGTTCACCTATAAAAAGAAGAAAAGTGTTCCTTGTCATCATCTCACATAATCTGCCAAATTCCTAAAGCCAATTTTGGAAAATTTCCCTCGTCTAGCATCTGCCCACCTCTTAACCAACACCCAGCTCCCCCTTGGTCTACAGGACTTACCATTACTCATGTAGACCAGAGAGACTATGCCCAGCAGAGCCAGAACAAACATCCTGGGACCTGTGTTATGTGTAGTTTCTTGAGGAAGGCGCTGATTGATCTCCTTCAATGGTTTGTCTTTGGGCTATTTATCTAAATCATATAATCATAAAATTTCAGGGACTGACAGTTCCTCAGTGTTCCTAGAACCAAACCACCCCGCTGGAGTCTCACTACCCCTAAGGCAACCACTTTAAAATTATCTTCAGTGATGACCCAGTTTATGCAAGTATTCATTGTTGTAGAGCTGAGCCTTGAGCTATGCAAGTAAAGTCAAATTTCTCTCCCACATTTTAACATTTCTGAAATATCAAGACAGGATTCGGACACTCTAATTCCTTTTGCTCTCTTCATTAACCTCACTCTCTTCACTCTCCTTAGAATAATATCAGATTTTTCTTTGTCTCACCTAGACTGAGGAACCAGAAGATAAGCTTGGGATTCCAGGAGTAGTCTGAATGTGGGGGAAGCATGGGAGTGCCCCTTCTCTGGCATAGGGGAGGGAAGGTTCAGGACAAGATGGGCAGAGGTGAAATTGATCTAGTTTGCATTCAGGTGGTTCATATTGTAGTTAAATGATTACTAAACACATATCAAATGTCTATATCACAGGATGAAAAGATGCTAAACAAACCAGGCATGAATCCGTGGCCTCACAGAGATGAGAGTGTAGTTTTAGAGGCCACAAGTACACCAAACACAGCTGGCTATGAGGGACGAGAGGAGGGGCATTCCAATTTGACTGCCTACCAGGGAAGTATTCCCTAGAAAGGGAGGTGGTTGTGCAGGACTTTTCAGGCTAGCAATGTGTTAGCTAAAAGAAGTGAGTAGGGACAGGTACCCAAAGGAACAGCATATGTCAAAGCCAGAGATGTCAAACAACCTGACACATTGTGATGAGAGCAGAGAGACATGGCTGAGCAAGAAACTAAAGCACAGAGGTGCATCTTGTTGGAGGTGGTGGCATATGGATAAACAAAGGGGCTCAGGGAGACAATTCACTGGTCTTGTTGCTGAGATTACTGTAACCCAAGCATGTAAGATGAGATTTCTTGCTCACTATTGTGCAATCGCAAGATGTTAATGAAAAGAGTCATTTTTCCCAGGGAATGATATTAAAATACCTCCTCTTCTGCACGAATATTGAACTTTAGAGAGGACATGACCCTTTATCCCAAACTTATGTTTGCTACACATAAGGGTTCAAATATTGGATCTTCTGCTTGCCAGCTAAGTGACTTTGGTTGAGTTCCTGAGGCTCAGAATAATTTTCATGTCTCCTCTGATTGGTATTAGGATTATGTTAGAGTTTGTGAAAGGAGAAAGCTCATATTTGTTAAGATCCTGGAAACTATTCAGCACTAACTCCCGATGCAGTGCTTAGAATTTCAGGAGCAGCCTGGGCCTTTTTGCTAGGGGAGGCATCAGAAACTTCAGTCACAAGGAACCACATGCAGGAAAGGGCACCTGGTTAGAGAGGGAATTGGGTAGGCTACTGCTTGGGTTTTGCATTCAAGGGTCAAGAGGCTGGCTAGGAGGATGATATCAGGAGCATCCTGTCAAGGGTTAACTTTCACCAAAGCTTATTTCCATCTGGCTTTGGGTGTTGGAAAAGATGAAATGATCAGTAACAGTTTCTTCTAGAATGGACTTCGAAGACAGAAAGTCAGATTCAGAACAAACTGTCTAATTTGCCTTGGGTGAGTAAGCAGCTAGAACCTATTGAGATGGGGGAGAATTGGACCCCATTCTCATAGCTCAAGGTGTGATCCATATGCTGATGACACCCAATTTTGTATTTCTACCTCAGATGTCTATTTTGAGTTCTAGACTCACGTCTACAAATACCGGTTCCACTATAGAAGGCTCTCAAGTACCACAATCTCAGCTGTCTCAAAATGAAATTGTAATTTTCCCAATCCATTAAACCTGCTCCTACTTAAGTGTTTAGGGTCTTAATAAACCCGGGAATCATTCTTTATCGATCCCTATGCCCAATCCTCAAAGAGAATCTAACAGCAAGTCTTATGCATTCTGTCTGCTAACTTCTCACACAGGCTATTTTTTCCCGACCTCCACTGCCGCTGCTGTAATCCAATCTGCTATCATCTCCTGCCTGGACCAAGCAATAGCCTTATTTTTTGCCTCCCTTCTTCTACTTTTGTTGCTTTATAGTTAGCTCTTCATAAAGCAGTCTTAATGAAGACATAAAGAACCCTTTCATAGGTCATAGACACCACACTCCTGCTCAAAACCCTCCAATGACTTTTCAACACACTTATAAGGAAACCCAAAGCCTCTCACATAACCTGCAAAATCTTCCTCGATCTGAGCAATAGCCACCTCTCCAATCGCATTTCCAGCCACATTCCACTTGCTCACGCAAATGTCACCTCCTCAGAGCAGCATTTCCTGGCAAACCTCTAGAAAATGTCAACATCCATGCTCCATCCTGAACGAGACCGCAGGTTAGAGCCCAGTCAGACTCCATAGTCGAAACTGTGGAGCCACAAGGAATCACTCACACATTCACACTCTTTCACACAACGTTTGTTAGTGAGTTATATATGCTTTCCCCGAGTTTTACTCATGCCGAAACACTAGATGTAGGAACAACAGAATGATCAGTTCTGTGCTTCCCTACACTGCAACCCAAATTTCCCCTTACTGTATCCGAAGCGGTGCGCACCTCTCACAAGGGGGTCTCCTCACAGATGGTCGCCTTCAATCCGTGCTCAAGTCCCACATTGGGCGCCACTTGAATGAGACCAACTCGCTTAACCGAACGCCCCTGGCTAGTCAGCCAGGAGCTCACCAAACGGGTCCCTAAGAGGATTGGGTGGGAGATGAAAAATAAAGAGAAGAGAGACAAAGTGTGGGGACAGGAGGGACTCAGTCTGCTGGTGGCAAAACTGAGACCTCGTTTACTGGGCTACAAGATTCATAAGGGGAAGCAATTTCCTCATTTTAGGGAGTGATTCCCTAAAGCTAAAACTCATGGGCTGAGGAGAAACAATTTCTCCTCAGCAACAAGCTATGTTATACACAATATAAACCAATGATATAGCTAGGCAAGGTTAAACTGAGGCAAATAGAAACTGTCTACAAGTCCACAGTAAAAATCCCAAGCATGTGAAGCAGGCCCATGGTAGAAAGTCCCAGAGTGGTGATGTATGTTGAAACTGCAAGTCCATAGTCCATGAGCAACTGAGTCCCTTAGTCCATAAGCTTTCCCTATCAGCAAGCTGTGGTCTTTACTCTTTACACTTGCGTTGTCTAAAAGCAGTTTAAGGCAGAAGCACTGTCCCACAGGTCCCCACTAAACTGCTCCAAGGCCGCTCACCCCAGGCCTGTATCTACCTGGAGACCCAAGCTTGCCAACCTAAAGCCTCAGTGTCCCTGCTGATCCCAGCCAGCTCCCAACACCATCCTTTTCGCTCCTTTACTTTTTTAAATACCAGTTGTTACTACCTGATCATACATAGTTATTTGGTCACTTGTTGACTCCTCCACTAGAACAAATCAAGGATTTTGTGTTTTTTCCACTGCATACCCAGCATCTGGAAACTTGGAACATTGGAGACATCCAATAAATATTTGTGGAACAAATGAATAATAACCTTTCCACATCCTCTCTTGCAACCTTCCAGTCCATTTTCTACATAGCGACCAGGTTATCAGATTGATTTTTTGCAACTAAAATAAGAATGTGAAAACGAGGCTCTTTCTACATTCCAGCTAGAGTCCCAACATAGTAGGTGGCAAGTATTTTTACATTTCAAAGTAAAGAGTTGTGCTACTTGTGCAGATATACAAAGAAAATAAATGAAAACCAGTTTGAATATTCTGGGCCCTTTGCACACCTGGATAGTATACATTAATAAACATTAAAGTGTCAAAGATAAAATGGGAAGAGTTTTTATTGTTTCATGGTGAAGGATGCCTTTTTATACATGACTCAAATATACAACCATAAAAAAATTCATGTTTGAATTTTTTTAAAAATTGAAGAAGATTTTTTAAAAAATCTTCTGTTGGGGCAATTGGGTGGAGGAACCAAACACTAACTCATAAGCAAAGTCCAAATAATAAATAAATAACCAGTAAAAAAATATTTGTAACTCATGTCAAAGGCTTAGGGCTAAATCTCCCCATTATACAAAGAAATTCCAGAAATTGCTTAGAAAAAGATTAACAATTCAAAAGGAAGCTAGGCAGTTAATAACAACATTAGTCCACATAAGAAGAAATAAAAATGATTCTTGAATATGTGAAATGTGCTGAGCTTACTCGTAATTTGAGACATTTAAATGATAACTAAACTTACATACTATTTTTATTTTACAGATTGGCAGTAATCTGAATTTAATAGCACCCTTATGTTGGCAAAGTTGGAGCAAAACAAACACTCTTATACACTGCTGATACAAGTGTAAGTTAATACATCAGTAAGGAGGAAAATTAGACAACAGCTGTCGAAATTATAAAGATATAGTGATCTTAACCATGTAATTTTATGGAATTATCCTTGCACATTTTTGAAAAGATGAATGCACACAGTTATTCTTTGCAGCGTGGTACCTGTGAGGTTGGAAACAACCCATACTTATCTCACTTATATGTGGAACCAAAAAAAAAAAGTTGAACTCATAGAAACACAGAGTAGAATGGTGGTTACCAGGGGCTGGGTGGTGGTGGGAGAAATGGGGAGAAGTTGGTCAAAGGGTACAAATTTTCAGTTGTAAGATGAGTAGGTAAGTTCTAGAGATCCAATGTATAGCATGTGACTATAGTTAATGATACAGTGTTGTATCCTTAAAATTTGCTAAGAGAGTAGATCTTAAGCATTCTCACCACACACACACACACACACACACACACACACACACACACACACACACACAATTATTGAGGGTGGTGAATGTGTTAATTACCCTGTTGGTAGTAATCATTTCACAATATATATGAAGA